GCTGGGTAGTTGGTGGAGGTATTACGAGTTTATTTTTGTTTTCAAATACACATTTTAAATCTGTATCATTATTTTTAAATTTCTAATTATAATGTTTAATGAATAATAAAAATCTATTAATAACTGATTATTCCAATTTCCGAAAAATACATAACATATCATTAATATATGGGTAATTATTTTATGAAGATTATCATATTATATCAGAAGTAAATGGAAATTATTAGTTTGTTGCTTTTTGCGCCGCGTTATTGCTGTGGTGTTAAGATTCTATATTTTACCTTAGTAATAATAGGATTTTAATATTAAAAACCCGGAAACTTAGTATGCTATGTAGTAGATTACAACCTAAAATGTGTACCTGCCACATCATTGAGTTTGTCACGAGTAATAAGTGCATTAACCATTACATTTTAATTCAATAATTAATCATTGCATCAAAAAAAACAAACTATTCTGAGCGAAAGATACTGGTTGGCAAGCATGTATTCTAAAGGATATTATACTTGTATTATTATTTTTATTTTCTTAATTAAGTTGGTTAAACTGATTTTTTCCAAAAAAATAGAGTATAATATCTTCTAAATTGGTAAATATAATATACTGACAGGTAGAATACACTAAATAGGTTCTTGGTGTAATAATAAGTCTAAATAGTTAGAAAACTTATCATGTCTGTAAAATGCTAATATAAATATTTTATGAAATTCTTATAAGTCTCTGAGGTTAATATCCCTTTCTGAATTTGCAACAAAAAAAACCAAATCGATACTGCTGGAAACTTGTGCTGCATAAGTTGTAAGTATCCCTGTTTTCCCGCTGCTTTTTACTTAGTTTTTGACAATTATTTAAAAAAAGTACCAACTGGGAAAATATAAAATGTGATAATATAAACTTTTTATTTATTATAAACATCCGGCAGTGGAGGAGGGGAGTTAGGCTCCTAAGCCCTTCCCTCCAATTCTAAATTCCGCTTATGCCATGCCACAGCTTAAGAGATTACTTGAGCAACTGAAAGAGTTAAGAGTAACTTGTAGCAAATGTATACGGCTGAATAATTAAGCATTTTAGTATTTAAATTATACTTTCCTTTAAGAAAATTAAAAACACAAACTACACAATACTTGCCACTAAAGCAGTAATATGGATGACCATAAATATGACATTACCGGCATTATCATTATACAAACGATTCAGAAAATGTGCCAATATGGGTAATCAATTGATTTCTAGTTTTTGAATCTACATTTTTTTTTCGATCAATTTTATTGTATAAATGTTGTAGTTGAGCGAAGTTAGACATTACAAAATTAATTTTAGCTGATAGGTGGGTAACTCATGTTAAGTATTTCATTATTTTCATAAAATATATATATTTCTCATATATTCTTATAGCAAAATTATTTTACAGACAATATATTTAATAATTAAAAAAAATATATATATATATTAGTTACTTTACCTAGTTATTTTATAAATAGTTAAATATTTTATTTTAATAATTGTATGATATTACTAAATATGTTCTAAATTGTTCACTTTAACGGCAAAACTTATTTATTTCCCTATTTTTTTTCTGTCTTGGTTGTCAATAATATCAATATAATGTATCAAAACGAGGTATACTTCAGATGTATTATTGTGCATGTATATATTTGGGGTGCACTCAACTTTTTTAAATACCAGAAAAAAATAATTATTATTTATTACTTTAATGAAACTAGCTTGAGGATAAATTGCGTTTAGAAGTATACTGAAATACATCTAATTTTATGTTTTAAATTGTACTATTATTCATTGTACCTGGCTGAGTGAAGGGTAGCAAATAGTAATAGATACCTACTAATAGTATTTTATGTACATTTTAGGTACACCAAGTCACCAATATATAATATTATAATAAAAAACGTGTTTCCTCAAACTATTAATATTAAATGGTGGTTATAAAGTCAGGTTAATGAAAAACATAAACTTCAATTAGTTAAACTTTATGTAAAACTTTTCTAATATAAATCTTTCAATAGCCACATTGGAAATACAAGATTTAAATTTAGGAATCCGTCGAAAGACAAATAATAACGTTAAACTGGTATTCCAATCAATTTCGCTTGTATTGCGAACCAGATAATATTTTGCTCTTTGGAATATTAGTAATGAATCATTATGTGAGATCTTTAGAAGCTTTTAGGTATGCGTTAAAGAATTCACAAATTACAAATATTTACCACTGAATTATAATATCCTATGCAAATAATCAGTTGACTTATTATATAACCATCCAATATGCCAAGATTTTATGAGTGTTGATATAGGTATATTATAAAGTTACCAAAAAAAATGTGTTGTAAAAATCTTTGCCGAATAGCTTATGTTAAGAGTTTCTTACAATAATGTAGGTACTAGAGTAGATTAGGTTATATTATGAGTACACAAAATGCATGATTATTGATTTAAAATATTTCAATTAAGTATTTATTATTTAAAGACGATGACGATTGTTTTACTATTATTATTACCACATTTCAGAATTCGAATAGCTCATTAATCATTTTAATGTAACACTATATTAAAATAAAATGCTTGAGGACTTTTTTCAAAGTAATTAAAAAAAAATATATAATTAGAAATAAAATCCTAAACCGCATTTAATAATACGAATTGTAACACTAAACACATTCTTAAGATGTAACTTTCAATTTATTTTTTAATGTGCTAACATTTTCTATATGAAAGTACAGTACATATTTTAATATTAATAAATAATGGAAATTTAATTTCCCAGCATGGATCGCAATTCCAGAACGAGTGTGTACATAAAAAAATCTAATCCTATTTAAACAGTTAATTAAAAATGTACTTTGTTTTATAATACTTTAAATTTAAATATCATACAAAAAACAATTATAAAATATTAATATAATGTGTTAAAAAGAATAATGAATAATTTGCATAATGCTAACCGAGGAAATTTAATTGTTTTAATAAATTATTAATCATCTAATTATTATATACGTTACAACTGATAGACAAACTTATGGAAAACAACAGAATAATGATAAAAATAAATTATATTGTAGGTAGGTAAATTAGGTATCACTTATAAAATATAATTTTCTTATAAAACAAAGTGAAATGAATTAAAAACTATTGACCGCATATGCATCCAAACTCTGATACAAATTAAACTTTAAGCTAGCAACGATCAAAACTAGTTTAGTTCAAAGTCAAAGTTATATAATAATTTATAAATTTGCTTACTACTAGGATGGTTTCATAAAATGGTATGATTATGGCTTAGCAAATAAATATTTGTGCAATAGAATCCATTAAGATTGTGGTCTAGAAATATATCCTAAATTTAATTTTCAAATGCAAAACTTTCAAACAAATAAGTTACTACATTGTTAGTGTTGTTATAATTTACAGGAATTTTTCGTGGCCGAACAACGTTTTATTTGTTTTACTTACCTAATTGTGTTATTATTTAAATTTAAATGTATACATGTAGGCGTGTACAGGTTTTTGATTTTTGTTGGACGCTATACCAAATTACTATATCGGTTAATTTTAAAAGATTCCATACATCTTGCAGCCAATTTAATCACTTTTATATAAATAATTACGTCAAATGTATTAGATAGATAGGTAGGTACATCTTAATAATTAAATAATTGAAAATTAGTTTTTAATATTTTAAAATATGTAATTTAAACTTAAAATATTAGGTACTTGATAAAAAGAGTAACTCAACGGCTACACTTTTTATTGATTAAAAATTGCCCAGCAAATAATATAGTGATTTTGTTCTGAGATTTAGAGTGGTAGCCTAACTAGTAATCTAGCTGGCTAATCATCACCTTGGAGGACACCAGCTACAATAAGGGCAACTAACTATGATAAAAGTTTAAAATATTAAAATGTAAATAAAAATATTCTAATAAGCTTAAATTTTTTTTTTAAAACTTGCATGGACACTGGACATTTGAAATCACTTAGTTTTCTCCGATGCAGAGTATATTATGCATTATTATTTCAATTTGAATGCTACAATTAAAGTATTGGAAAAATTGTTTTGACCTCCTGTGTAATTTCAGGTTATTGATTTGATGTTAATTTTTGTTGAGTTTTATAAGAATTCCCCCACACTTTTATCCAGGATTGAGGTCTGGCAGCATTTTATTATTGTTTAATTGTTGGAGTTTTACTTAGATTTTTTTAGGGTTTTGTTAATATTTAGTAATTATAAAGTGATTTTTTAATTACATCTTTAAATTGAATTTATGTAGTAATATTAAACTTTTTAATTTTCTGAAACAGTGTTAATTAAGTTAGTTTTTATATTTAAACTTAATTTAATGTATAAAAAACTATTTTATAATAGTATATTTTAGACTAAAACCAATAAAAAAGAATTGGAGTCCTTGACAAAAAAATATCTAAAATAAATTTAGTTTAAAACTATATTAATTCATACTTCTATTATTTGGTTTTCTGGACGGTAAGTATAATGACGGTTTATTTATTTGAAGATATTTCTTTTTATTATTGTTATTGAGAAAAAAAAGCGTCTGCCACGTTACCGTTCGGAAACACATGTAGTTGTAATATTTTTATATTTTTAATGTTGATGATATTATTTTTTCACAGTTAAATACGATATAGGTAGATTGAACACACGAATTAAAATATAAAAACTATACATGTACAATAGATTATATCAAATTAATAAGTTCAATGAAACATCCTGCAGAAAGAATGAGAATATATAATATTTACTAGGTATTGTAGTAAGTTCCGGAGCATACAACGTTCTTGCATACTTTGAATAGTTAAACTCATAACGCAGTTATGAATCGCCAATCACTGTTCAATCGATTTTAATTTATTTTTTAATGTTTCACGACATCGAGTATTTTTCTCTAGCCGCCTGGTGCGCCCCGTGCATAAACACGCTACTACGCTGCTCGTTGTGACTTGTGAGTTTGTACATTAGTCGCCTAGGCAGTGGATGTATCGATTCAACTTTAATTTTCATGACCCACGACTGTGGCACAAAACTATGCCGTAAGCTTTTATTCCCGAGAGAATAATCCGACAAGATAACAACCGCAAAAACTATGACGGTGACGAACCGGGAGAAACGATGCGATGTCCGTACGTCACATATTTTGTCCGCTGCGTGCAATTTGATTAACAAGCGAAACGCCGTAGAGTCCAAATTTTCCGCGTCGCCGGATTCGAGCTGGTAGGTCCCCCTCTAGTCTTCTCTGCAGTCTGTACATTCTTATTACGTCATATTATCAGCTGCCGAGTTCGAACAAACGGTGGCATTAATGTGCAGAAAATATTAAATATTAGACGCACAGCGCGATACGCTTTTTTTCATAAAATTGTGTTTTTATTTTTAATTTAGCGCCAAAAATGTTGGTGAAGATTATAGTCCCATGACTTTACCGACACCAGAGGATTCAACTGCTTCGTGGTTAGATGTATGTATACGTGTAAATAGACACACTTGAAACGTTACAATTATAATAATGTTTAGCGCCGAATTTTTTGTAGGCCGAGGATAGTTATCAAGTCACTGATTTCTTGGACGAAGCGTCGCGTATACTTCACAACGAAGAAGACTTTTCTGACGCATGTCACGATCGACTACGGTCTGAATATGAACAATGGAAAAGAATTCCTCACTTAAGGTCGTTATAATTATCATTTTCTAAGTTCATAGTTTATCATAATAGATATATAAGAGTTATTATAATTTACAACAAATTTACAAATTCACGTAGGTAGGTAGTATAAAAATAACGTATGTTATTACCCAGCTAAAATATGACATAATTTTTTTTACCATAAATACTGCAATAAATAAATCAATTTTTTTAACCTCGTGTCGGTGGGATATCAAAAATAATTTAAATAAATAAATACTATTTTATTTGTTTATAATTTATGTATAAAAATTAAATATAATTTTACGCTATAAAATAATAATAATTGCGTGGTTGTAGTTTGAGGTGAGTTTTCAAAACTGGTGTGTTTGACATGTATGCAAATAATGGTAGATATTCAGCAAATATAATATATGTGTGATTAGTTTATAAATCAAGTGTGTTCTAGCACGCAGAATATTTACGCAAATACATACATAGCAAAATAAACTACTATATTCACACAGCTGATAAACGGTCAATGTTAGTGGAGAGGAGATGTTTTTAGTATATAAATATTGTCATATCGATTATACAGTATTATTATATTATGTTATATTATTATGGCTCCCAATTAATGTTTCCTAGACCAGAAAAAGTTTCTATAATACTAATGGCACACTTATTAGTAGTTATATTACTGTCTTATTGTATTTTTTTATGTCCAGATCGTAAATATTATTTTAAATGAAAAGAAATAAATATTAATGGCAGGTGTGAATTACAAGTTATAACACATTATAACTCGTAAGTCATTGTAATGCATTTAGTCTAAATGAGACTTACAAAATATTTACTGATACTTTTTAAATTAATATACAATTTTGTAAACTTTTTTTTTTTTTAAACTATTATTACAGCATTACTCATACTTGCCATATGGCTTAAAAGTTCACTAGTTTCTTTAGTTGGAAGTATTGTTTATTAATTATGCACACAATTGTCAATCATTATGACGATGTATTGTACATGCTCGATGTACCGTTATGAGAAAACTATCTATGAAACAGACCCAGTACCATTAGTGTACCTAAATAGCCTATTTATAACGCCGTGTGATTATAATATTTTATTTTTAAATCTAAATAAAGTCTGGGGTGTACATAAGTATACTCGTACATTACATCTCGTACATTACATCATCCGTGTTAAAACTGTATACTACTATGAAGATATTCGTAAAATTATTGACATAAAAAACTTATTTTTTTATATTTGTTAGGGTGATGTAAGTTAATAAACTTGATAAATAAATTATTTATCATAAATACTAAAATACCTATGATTAATAAATAATAATTCAAATATAATAATTATTTTTTCAAGGGCTTATAATATTTTATGGAACCCGTCCAAAACAGTGAAATAAACAATAGTGAAGTATTGGTAGTGAAATCCAAAACAACAATTATAATTTACAGCTGATACATTTAAAAGGCCAAGTACATCAGACTATAGGAGATAATAATATTATTAGGATAATATATAGTTCATTGAGAATATTGAAGTATAGACAAGTATTATAGATAATAAGTAATTGATGATAAAAGTATTGTGCGATAAATCCTCATCTGAGTACGATCACAGGTAAAATACGATCGATATTCGATACTAATAATAATTTTAAAAAAAGCCAATATGGACAAGTGCGACCGCGTTTGTCTGGGTGAGAGTGTGACGAGTTTTTAGGTGTGGGGGGGGGAGTACGAGGGTTTCAGAGGAATTTCAGATTTGTCTTTTGGGGTTTTTATTTTCTTATTCCTTGTTCTTTTCCCCCTTTATAAGTGAATATATATATGACTTGAATAAGTTATCAAAGAAAATCTCCATGAATTTGGCCTACCACGTGGCGGTGGCTCATACCAGTAAATGTATTAAACCAGTGGCAATGGTCAGCAAATAGTTATGCCTTAACTGCTAATCAACTTTTGAAGTAAACCAAATTATGAGTTAAAAATTGTATTATTTAATTTCAAAAGCACAGCTAAGATATTAAAATTCCTAACTATAACTCTAGTCATAATATACATCACCTCTTTTACTTTTTTGTGTGAATAATTATGTATATTTTTATATGCAAATTGGAATTTTTTTTACTCGCTTTGAGTTTTGTTCTTTATACTTTCGCTATTTTACTTTTTGCATTTTTTACTTCGCGATCATTACTTCACTATTATTAGGTACTACCTCTATTTTGGCCTTCACCCCGTATTTTTATATTTTATTATTTTTTTTCTATCAGAAGTTATTTCTGCAGTTCTCCTTAATGTCTTTTGTTCCACAGAAATGTAGTGCTATATTGGATTACATTTACCATGCTACTCATTTCCAGAATCAGCCAAACAAGTGGCAGGAACATAAATACAACTATTCTGCAAGTATATTTTAGTATATAGGTCGTTTCTTTGACTTGCACCACATTCACCATCACAATCTTCAGTAAACACACTATAGTGGCGATCAATTGTTAAATTGTTTGAGTGTAAGACTGTATATTTGTATACTTTTTCTACGGCATGGAAAGTATAATATACTTATATACATTAGCGAATATTTATGAAATATACCATTTGTGAAATTTAGCTTTAACCGTAAAAGAATAATTCATTTAAATGGTAAAGTGTATAAGTATTATTAATATTTTAATATAATTTATG